ATAATAATTAATAATTTATTAATAATATTAAATATTAATAATATTTGATTAGATTTTTTGATAAAAAAAAACAAGGTAAGCTGTGGATCTTTCTAAGGTCATTCATATCATTCGTAAACACAAATTTGGGTTATTTCAGATACTATATAAATAAAATAACAAACTTACTTGCCCTTGAGATTCCAACATCACAAATTAAACACTCTGTATACATAATAACGTCAAAAAAATTGTGTCATACCAACATAACGGAATCAATAGCACCAGAAACAAATGAGTAACGCTCATTGTTTGGATTTTTTTCGTATACTAACCTTTTCATAATGAGTTTCCTTACAAATATAAATTAAATAGGCAGTGAGACATGCTAGACAGCCCTCACAGTAGGTGGAGCAAGTGGCGCTTTCAGCCTCTGCGAAATAGCCATTCAGTCTATTGATGGTGGCTTCAAAAGCCTGCCTTTCCAACTGAAATAAACCGAAATTTGCGAATGCTTTCACTATAATTAAAACCGATCTTACTCTGCCATCTAATTCCTGTGGAAATCTAGTCTGGAATTTCACAACAGTTCCTTCACTATAATCTCTTTGGATGAAAACTTTTAGACACTGAGACGGCGCCATTTGTTCCGTCTCGCCAGCTCTTGAGCCGTTATTGTGGTGATTACTCATCGTGACTTAATTAGTTATTATAAGAAAAAGAAAATGCAAAAGACGAGATCAAATTATACCAATATCAACACACCTCCATTTTAGCTGTCATTTCAACAGGTTGACCAACATGCGACGAATGACAGCACCAGCCAAGGCGCTAAATTTGAATTAAACAGTTTTTGTTCTATTTAAGTTTATGAAATGTAAATTTGTTTGGCTCCAGGAAGTAAAAATCTTGTACCTAACAGTATTGTAAAATATGGAGATTTTTATCTCACATCTTGTGTGTTGTTTTTTAGGGCGATGTGAAACGTTTACTTGTTTTCGAGATAATTTAAAGATACTTCGCTTCTAATTAAGTTTCAGTAAATTTCACATCCCGTCTTAGTAATTATAGATTGCTTTTGTCCCATTTGGCCATATATCGAGCGATAGTGTGCTCCCAAAATGTCGTTCCGGTGAAATATCTGCGTTCACCGATACTAGAACGAAATTTATGACTTTATCTTCAAATATCAGAAATTTTATACAATACACAAAAAGATTTGTATCGATTAAAAGGTTGCGTGTCGGTTATTTTATTAGCAGAATGTCCCACCTGATGAAGATAGAATCGAAATAAATTCTTTCAAAATCAATCGGTTTTGCTTGACCTAAATAGCTCGCAAGTCATTAAAAGCAAAGAACAAAAATAATTAATCAGCCTACGACAAATTTTATTACAGTAAAGTAGAACATTGATTGTTTTTCTTTGAATTTATATAAAATTTATTTTTCTTTCTAAAGTGGGACATGAAACATTTTTTTCTACTTCTTCCAAACTAGTAATTGAACCTGCGGCCTGTGCGGTCACTAATAATCGATTAGAAAAATCTCTAACTAAGTGAACCGAAACTATATCGACCACAACTACAAGAATTGGCACAAATCACAGCCCTGTCGCCTAATAATTTGTGAAAAGCTAGACGAGTCGGCGGCGTTCGTAATTACCATTTCTAGTTAATCAAAAGTGATTTTTTGCGTTCCAGAAAAATATTTAATGTGTCGTATGACATGAAATTGTATCTCTTCTCGTGAGAATATTTAATCGACCACAAAAAATTACTACGACTTATCAAATTGCATGAAACTAGGGCGTCTAATGTGTCTGATGATAGTGCAAATGTCGTACAGTAGGACAATAACAACAATTGCATTTTAGACTTATTGATTCTCTTTGGTTAAATAATGTGGTCATAAAGAGGCGAAAAACAACAAAATTGATTTGAAATCCGGCGAAAGCTCAGCGGTATGGACTTATTTCCTACAATTAATCTATATTTAAACCCGTGAAAGTGTCCAGTAATTAATTAAAATTAATTCTAACAACATTTAAGAAAATGATTAGAGTTTTTGTTTTAATTTGAGTGTTTTAATAAATAATACACTTTTCAAAGTTATTGTAACAGTTAAAGTTAAAGACTTTGTTATATCATTTTTGTGTTTAGTTGTATTTTTTATTTATTCAAAACGGTCTTTTTCTGAAAATTTCTTCAGAGTATAGATTTAAATTAGATTAAATGGTGATTACAATAATTTGCAAAATGACAATAAGCAAATTTTAGAGAAAAAATGCATGCCCATGTATTTCATTACCTCAACAAAACTTTTGTGATTTACTTTTAATTTTATTAACAAATAGCTAGTTTCTTCCGTTTTTTATATTTATTTTTATTACTTCTAAACAAAGCAAAATACCCAAAGTGGTAAATTTAATGCCATACTAATAATAATAACTAATATTTTTTATTTTACGCTAACACTGCAAAAGAAAAACCTTTTTTGCTTCACCTGAAACCAGTAAGTCTGTAATTTTAAAAGTTTATTATTTTCAATCAGTGGAAAGAAAATTTAATTTTTCTCTTGGTTTTGAGCTTGTAATAACTAATAACACTATAGTTTACAAACAATACGACTTTTAATCGAATTATTATTTTTATGTTAACTTACCTTTAATTAAACAAAAATAATTGTTAAGTTTTTCTATCACGTCACACTTTTTTTGTTATAGACGATAATTTTCCTGCTTTCTGCACAAATGCCTCCGATTTAAAATTTATTTAAATTCAAATTGTTGCATAATTTTTACTATATGGGTCTAAATACGTCTTAAAAATATTTCACTCGCATTTCGACTTCTTTTTCTAAAAATTTAGGGAGCATGAGTGACAAACAAGACGAGCGTTTTCATCAAGTTCTGAAGGGTTTTCAAAAATCGGCACGAAGGTTTTTGGGATGAAAATATGTTAGTAGATTACTGTTGGATTATTATAAAGAAAACTGATCCAAAAAGTATAATAAAACCAAGTAAAATAACTCACTTTTAATATGTTTTTTGGCGGTTTTTGTATTTTTGTTAATTACCTATTTCTTAAACGTAACGTGGTGGACTTTTTTAAATAGTTTTTTTTAACTCAGTGCCTCAAAATCTATAAGAAATTTAAGGTATAAAAATCGTGTAAACTAGTGTAATTTTTTCTCTGCGTTTTAAATCCCACATTAGCGTTTTATTTTTTTGACAACGATGTCGTTTTGACAGTTAAATAACAAAAATGTTTGTAAAAAAACATAATTTTAATAAATGGCAAGTCAAAAAAACAGTTTCTAAAAAAACAGTCATTTTTAATAAAAACAATCATTATTCAATTAATTAATTAATTGTCAAAGTGACATCGTTGTCAAAAAAATAAAATCGCCAATGTAGTGGAACTTGAAAAGAAAAGAAAGATTATCATTACAAGTCCAAAAGTAAGAAAAAAATTAACTTTTCTTTCCACTGAGTCATCAGAATAATGAAGTTTTGATTACAGAATTGCTCGTTTCAGATAAAGCAAAAACAACCCTTGCTGTTAAAGTGTTACTTTATCTACTCAAAAGAGTTTTTAAAGAAATAGTTTAACATCTGCTATAGAAAAAAAAAGTATTTCCTTTGCTTTTTGGCGTAAAATCAACGGTAAAAATTTGTTCTTTTTGAGTGGCTATTATAAAATGTATTATTAAGTTCAGAATTTTGATTATAAAGAAATAACTTGATAGAAATTGGCAAAATTCACAGTTTATTAAAAAATTCTGGCATTTAAAAGAATCTTAATTTTTGAAAGCTGTAGATAAAGAACCTTAAAAGTCAAGTCAAGCTAAAAATCAAAGGTAATTTTTTGTCCTCTTGTAAACTTAATCCGGGAACATACTGTATACTTGCAAAATACATTTCTTAAATTTTATGTATTTGTAATTTGATAATTTGAGCAAGCTTGTTTATTATAATCATATAAACTTTATAATCTACTCCTTGGAGGCGTGTTTTGCAGCTTCAGTCCCTCCAGTTCTTCGTTCCAATTATCCTTCATATAAGCAGTTACATGTCGTGAATTCCGCCATTTAGCCTTGACCATGCATTGGTTCCCTTTCCTTCTACTCCTCCTCATCGGCGGTGCGTCTTGTGACGACTACGTCGACGAGGTCCAAGGCCAGTGTTACTCCAACCCGAAATCTTCCTCCTGTGCCAAATACCAATTTGTGAAATACATCGACGACTACCGTCCTCACGAGTGGAGTTTAACACGCGAAGTGAAACTTATTTCGATACCTGGTGCTAATGTTAGTGCTATCCATGCTGGGAGATACCTGGAGACCGACACCGAAGGGGTGAAATTGTTCAAGTATTTGAAACGAAGAGTGGCGAAGTTTGTACGAGAGCAAGGGTTGGCGGTGGATTTGCCTGAAGGATCGCAAGTGGTTGATGTTGATACAGTCGGTGAGTATGACCTTTGATAGTGTGCGAAAGGAGGTGAACGTGAATTATCGAATTGTACCGTTGGAAAACAGAAAAAATGATTAATTTTGTGGTAAATCTTGGCCTAGATGTTAATTACGGAATTTACGCATATGATAATTGGAGTATGAGAGGGTAATTTTCCGCTTTCGCTCGAATTTCCGGAATATTTATGAGACATACAAGGCAATTATTTCATTTTGTTTTATTTGAGATAAGTGTGGAGGAGTTGAATTATTCCGGTCGACAGTGCATCTCAAACCTGTCAAAGAAATTGAATCGACACGAAATTACAACAATATTTCCGGTAATTTATTTATCTGATGGGAACTCGTTAACATAATTTTGGGCAAGAATTGCAAAACTAAAAAAAGTTGAACAATAACAATTAAGATTTAATTTTTGTTTATACTTTTTTTGTTGTTTAGTTTAATGACCCTTAAAATAACTACTTTACGAATTAGTTTTTTTTTTTAATTTAGATTTTATATAATTTGGGTTCATCAGTTGTTCTAGTATTCTGAAATATTTTTTTCTAACGGTTTTATCAGTTTTCTAGTTTTTTTTCGAATGTAAAAACCGGTGTACTAAAAAACCTGTAATTTGTTTGACAAGTTATTATCCTAATTTTTATTATTTATAACCCGAAATGATTACATTATAATAAAACAAGTTAAAGGAGCCGTCATTTTTCCTACGTCAGTATTTTAATTAAAACCAAATCAATTACGTCTTTGTGCAGGTAATTACAGATCTTAGAAGCAGCCTAAAAGAAATAAATAAACCGTTTGAAGCCCGGCACGTTTCGTCGACAATTTAATTAATTTAGTTTGAAGACAGCCAAAGACATAATAAGGCTTCATCACTGTTTATTATTCAAAATCATCAAAACAAATTTGTTCCACATTCAAAATTTGGCCTGAAACATCCTCCGATCGCTTCATTACGCAACAAAAATTCTAAATTCTACACTTTGCTAACCCACATTTCAATCCAAAAAAACATAACGGTGTTATCTAGACTAGTTATCAATTTGCAGGATCCGGTAGAAAGAAGAAAGAAAAGAAACAAATCATCCTTCCTATCTTGATCTTGATCAAACTTTTCAAAGTCAAGATTTTGGTAACTTTGGCTTTGGCCGGGATTATCTTCATCAAGAAAATGCTTCTGGTAGCGGCTTTCGTCTTGCCGGCAGTTGTGGCATCGATTAAAGCCCATTGTAAAGCACAACAGTTCCATGTGGTACCATACAACGTCCATGAGGACCATTACACCCACGACCATGAGCACGATGACGATGGGTACGCGATTTCGTCATATGGGAGCGACGACAAACATTTCTGGGACAAGAAGAGGTATTCATTTCTATAATGGATTATGAAAAATGGGAGGCGAACTAACGGTTGCCACTTTTTTCAATGACTAGTCCTGTAATTTATTAATCCCAAAGACGGACCACTCAAAAAGAAAAAGTTGAAGATTGAAATTTTACCGTAACAAAAAAATTATAATTGGATGGACAAATCGGACATAACTTTTTATTTATTTATAAAAAACAGTACAAGACTGAATAATACTAACACTTATTTATTGTTTAACTTAATTTATTGTAAACTTATCTGAATATAAAATAATAAATCTTTACAATATGTAGGTTAGATGACTGGTGTTTTTCTAGCGTATCGCTGGTTGCATATGTTAATTTTAGGTTTCAGGAACAAATGGGAATCTCCTTTTGGAACATCTAATTAAAACGAGATGATCGCCGACAAGCCTCTTTTTAATGGAAATTTTATCTTCAACTTGCAGGAATAATATAGCAGTTACGACGTCGAAATATTGATGTTTACCAGCTTTATAAGTATCTGTTTTCATGAAAAATTGTAAATAATATTTCAGAGGACGTGAAAACAAGTCGTTTTTCATTATATAGTTAACACGGTGTTTAATTTAGTTTTCCAATCTTTGAAAATTATAAAAATTCGAATTCTGCTCAAAGCATAATCCAAATTCCGGCTTAAGCTAACCCTGCGAAGAATTCCACTCTTGATACATTCGATTTGGATATTCGGGTCGAGATTTACGAGCTCTAGAGGGAGGATGAATTTAGTTTTTGGATTTTTATGAAATGCATTAAAAAATAAGGTTTCGTTTGAAGAAAATTAAAGTTGACGCTTCAAGCCACGAGAAATTAATTATTTAATTCGTTCATATTTACCTGAAAAATTTAATTGCGAATGTAATGAAAACAAGCTTATTTATTCAACAAAGTAATTTCGCAACTGTTAATTATATCTCTTCAGTTTGAATTACTCGTAATGTTATATGGGACGATCTTAGTTCTTAGTTTATGATAAGTGTCTTTTGAGTAGTAGATAAAGTTTTGAGATAAAGCTCTACCTTCACTTGCAATTACATTGAAAATTAGTTGGGACGTTACTAGAGATGAGAAATTATTTTCTAATTAAATTCTGTCTGTTTATTGAACTGAGAAAAAAACGAATTGAGATATTTATAAAATTCAAATACATTCTTCTATGCCTTTGAACATAAATAAACAATCGATAAAGTGTCCGAAGGTTTTGCAATCCTTTCCAATATTAAATTTTGTTTTTGATTTAATTACAAAATTGTAACAATTCTGTATGCTGAAACCTTCCATATAATTAAGTTTCAGTCCGAGAAGGTCTTGAAACATATAATTGAAAAGGACACGCTTCAAGATTAGGTAAGTAGCCCCTGATTCGGCTTCCATAAGTTTTATCAATGACAACAAATGCGATTTGATAACACTGAAATCCGGTATAAACTATCTAATCAAAGTTATCGGTAGCTGAAAGTGGAAATTGATTTTTTTGGATAAATCCAAATCTCTGATTTCATTATTACGAAGATATTATTTATTTATGTACAAAAGAAAACTTTGCAAAACCCGTTTTTCTGTCTTCACTTTGCAAAATGAAATTTTCTGGGAGCTTCATATGTCGCACCTTCGATCTCCCGACTTTCGCTCCAATTTCCACAAATTTCCTCTTGGAAAATTGTTAAAAATTCCATCAGGTAAGGACATCCGCCTCCGCCTCCATTTCGTCCACTCGAAGATGATTGATGAGTTTTTATTTGGGTAAATATCTCATCGAATTGTGACACGATCAATTATCACAGACTACAAAGCAAACAATCGCTTAATAGCAACACCTAACTCCAGCAGGCATAATAAATCACACACACACGAAAAAATGTCAATAAAACTTGCTATTTATTAGTGTATCATGTGCAGGAGGGGGGCGGATGCGCCGCCGCCGCCTCTTATAAAGCTACAGCCCGCTGAAGAAGGCGCAGTGTTTGTGGCGGCGTCACGTAGATTTTAGACGCGCCAAAACTTTACAAAGTTTTCAACGAGTGTGTGGAGAGGTGGTGAAGGTGAATTATTTACCGGTACGTATGGAAAAAATACAGAATGGGGATTTTTTTTACAAGTTTAGCAAATTGCTAATTGGTATTTGTGGGGGTGGAGTTTTACAGAGTAATTAATTTGAATAAAAATGAAAGGCTTATGCAAAATTTTAGAAAGAAATTAAACACAATTTCAATATTTTTAAGTTAAAAAAATGGGCTAAAGGTAAAGTTTGTAATAATTTTTTTTTATTTTACACAAAGTGATTTTAATAGTTTGTAAAAATTTTAAAAAGTCTCGTCAAAAAAAGAATTGTCAAAATATTTACCTTCTTGGTAATATAGTTTATTAGATTTTGAAGAACTAGTATGAAAGATCATTGGTTTACAATTTTTGTTGGTGAAGTTTATTTCTACATAACAAAGTCACCTCTTATTATTTCTTTGAACGTGAATGTTGCGTTTTCATTAAAACAAGTACAAAGTAAAAAAGTAATTCAACATTATGAAAAAGAGCAATGCTTTCTGTACCTACAAAGTTTGTAATTACTTCTTTGAAAGGAGTTGAAGGAAATGAAAATATGAGAAAACATCAACTCCAACAATTCAAACTTTGTCGATATACATATTTGTTTTATATTTAAAACAAAAATAATTTTTTGAAGGATTTGTGTTTTTCTTGGAGTTAAACGAGTTGTAAAATTATAATCTAACTGCGAAAGAACACAAAACAGAAACAAAAAAGCAATACGCAAGTATTTACCCTAGAAAATTGCTTTCTCCAAATTTAACGTTTCATGAAGAAATTAAAAAATTAATATCAAAGGTTAATTTTTTATTGAAACAAGAGAATTACAAAAAAGTAATTAAACTAAATAAAAGTTAACGCAAATAATGTATACATGATGTTTACCCAAAGCTTTCTGTCTTTGTAATTATCCTTTTTAAAAGAGTTATGGAGATAAAAGTAAGAGGGGTTGAAACACAAACCCATTTACATATACTTTTTAATCTTTGAGATGTGAAATGAGTTGCAAAAGTAAAAACAGTTTAAAGTCTATTTCTAATGCAACCTAAAAAAGTAGTTAATCGTTGGGTATCATCTGACGGAAGTCGCAATATCCATTTTTCTCTCGTTCTCCCTAATCACCACCATAAACATTAAATCCCGATATCTCTCGCTTGAAATCCGGCCAAAAATGTATTAAATCCCGGATCGATCCGGAAAAATGAACTTTCATCTCGTGGCATAAATTAAGTGTAACTGAAGCGAAACTTTTGAATGTATCTTGATTTGTAAGTAATACGTCAGTAGCAAACTTCATGTTACGTAATTTTGTAATTATTTCCACCAGAACAGTTATTTAAACGCGTCAAACAAACAAGCGCTTCGAGGAATTTTCTTTTGTTTTGTGTTTTTTTTCCGTAATATTTTGGCAATGGTGTATTTATTGGAACGGTTCCCGATCAGAAAAATAAATATCGTTAATTGGATAAATAATCCGATTTTGCGAATTATTAATAATGTGGTCATTTTACGAGCACTAATGAGAGAAGAGGCAAACTTCTATATCTAAAATTAGTTCTTTTCAGGTGGGGATTTATGAATTCGTGAAAATGAATGCAAAGCCATTTGAGAAATAGAACGATTAGGTCCCGTAACGGTTGTCTTTCAGATTTACATAATTGGACCTCTTTAGATGATACATCCTGTAGATTTACATTTTGATTAGATTTTCGTGGATTTGCAGCTTTTCGTCTCGTGGAGCATAACGATCAACAACATTCGGTTATTCAGATGTGCTTAATGTTTCTTGAATTTTTTATTATGACATAGATCGGGGAGAGTTTTTGTCGGTTTAGGGCGACTTTTATGGAAATTAAGCTCGTTTTGGCCTCGTTGATAATTTATTATTCCAGGAGGTGCAATAAACTTTTTGTCACCTAAGTCCCAAAACAACTTCTTTTTTTTTCTGCACCCCTCAACATAATTAAAGAGGCGGCATTCTCCTCGTTGAAAATAACAAAATTTCAAATTTTGGCTCGACTCAATTTATTAGAATTCTTGTCGGGGTCTTAATTCCTCTTTGCTAATTTATTATCAGTGGCGGTGCACTAAAGCTTTTGTCACTTACTCGACTTAAACTTGCTCCTAATCCAAGTTCTTCATGTTCCTTTGTGCTTAACATAATTAAAGTGTCACTGCAGCCACTTTTACCCTTTTGAAAAATCGAATTAAAGTGCTGCCAGTCCGACATTTGTCAATTTCCGGGTTGCATTCGCGTCCATTTAGCGATTTTAATTATCAACATGACAGTTGGCTGATAAAAATCGGGCTTTTTCCGTCGAAAATCATACAAGCAGTAAATTTAGGGGAAACGATACACTTGAAACTGTTTAACATCGAACTTCCATTAATAAGTCTATAATAATAAAAGCTTTCATCGATAATCCTTTTTACCTGAAGATGATGATGGGCTTTGACGTTAAACAATTTTCAGATAGTTTGTGTCGGCTACAGAAAAAGGGTGGACACAAGTTTTTGCATAATCACGGACTAGAATGAATTATTTATTTTCAGGAAAATTAAACGAGCTAATTCTTTGTTCAGCTTGAGTGATTTAGTTTCATAAGAACGATTAAAATCTGGAATTTCAATAAAATCGTTGGAGGAGAACCACCACAAAGAAATATTTCAGTTTGAAGAGTAATTCTTTGGATCGTCTCTCAGATTTAGATTAAAAAATTCAACAAATAAAATGTGAAGCATTTATGTTCTCAGTTGCATAATATATACAAATACTAGAAGCAAATAAGGAAATAAACGTTTCTGTTTTGAAAACATGTTTTCAATTTAACCTTATTATTTATTCAATTAACTTAAACGTTATCCTAGACCCCGTCTCATATTTGTTTTCTTGGTGAATAACAAGAAAATACAGGTGATCATTTATACGAATTTACCAGAGACGAACTCGAGTATATTTCGCTTGGTACGAGAAATGAGGACATTACTTCACCCAATTTTCTCTCTTTTTCAGTTGTGGGAATTAAAAGACTAGTGAATTTTTTTCTTTCTGATTCAAACTCCGGTTTATTTACCTCCTCTGAAAACTTCCGACGACATATATATATATATCACATGTTTTTTCCGACTTGTCGCGATTACGAATAAATTTCGCATTTTTTAAGGTCACAAATTGTCCACGCCCAGTCGTAAACAGGGTTAGAGGGCGGTTTCCAAAACGTATTAATTGTCCGAATGAAAAAAAGCTTTCACGGCAAATGTCGCGGAAAAAATGAAACGGAATATTGCCATAATAACCTTTTAAGGGGTGATAAATCGCTCGAGTGATATCATTTTAGGGACATTTCAAGCCGGCTATTCTCTTAGTTGGTGCTTTTATCGCGCGAGATGCTTATCGGCTTTTCAAAAAATATTGTGGGATAAAAGAAACGATTTAATTTATGGAAACGGATTGAGGGATTTTGCGACGAAACTTGGGTTTGTCAAATGTGATTTTGGTTAACTTCGTAATTTGAGGGTCGGTTTGTGATTAATTGTCGCTGGGATCGAGTAAATATTTTTGGTAGCGAGACTATTAATAGCTTTGGGGTTGGAAGCTGAGACTAAACAACAACTGGGAAAAACTCCACATCTTCATCGTCACTTATTTAGAAAACAAAATTGGATAAAAACATTGTTCGTGAAAAAAACTCATTCATTCTAATTAAACCTAATGAAATTTTCCTAAATCCCTTGCGTGTAAAAAATTTCATTCATTTTTTCAGTTGTGCCATGTTGTGTTGAATCAATGGATCCGAATCACACAATACCTCACAATATCTCGTCCCTTTTGAACGAGAGTCGAAAAGTTGATCCTCAACTCTATGACAGATATGTAAGGAATAGAGCCGTTGATGAACCAGCTTGTACCGCCCTCATAGCAATGTATAGTGTGCTTATTGTCTTAGGAGCGTTAGGGAACACTTTAGTGGTAAGTTTCAAGATAACAATGCTTTGTTTATAGACGAAAAATAAGCTTTTAATTAAGTTCAGTTGGTAAATAGCGGACGAAAACACGTTTCACCTTTGTAAAATATCTTTATTTGCGTCGCAGCTAAGGAAAAAGCTCGTGATAACGGGTTATGTTAGTTGTTTAACATTTTACCGGTTTGGGGTAAATTTTCGGAATTAGATTTTCAGCACTAGTGATGACACGAAAACTCACTTCCGACTTTTTTATTAGTCATATTTCGCATTGAAAGCTTTGTCGAGTCGTAGAAAGTTAATTTGGACCGATCAAAGATTAGGTTAACGGATAAATCAGGTAAGTTGGAAACATTTATTGGTAGTTTCGTGTGGAATTAGTCCGGATTTAGTGTTATGACAAAGTGAATAGAAATTGTAGCTCCGCGTGGGCTAATAAATTCATTGCTGAAGAGTAGAACTGTAAAATTTGAATGGGAATTTGACTGTGTATAGCTTTAATTAGAGCAACTACAAAGTATACATATGGAAGACCATAAAAGTTTCTGTGTATATCCACGGATTGCCGAAGAAAATACATTACGTGGTTGGTTTTTATTTTTACTGTTACTCATCTTACTAAAAACGGAAATAATGCTTGAAATTATGTATCAGTTCATTATCACGCACCTAATATTTATCAACCACTCACATACTGCATTCAATTAAAAGCAAAAAATAACGTCAACAAGCGACACCAATGTTTTCCTTTAAACCCCTACAAGAAGCCTGGAAAAATTTTCGATAAACAAGTCCGTTTATTATGTAGAAAATAAACTTTTCTTTAATGCAAAAACTTGTGCGTAGACATCAAAGCAAGACTTTTCATCATTTTGCAAGTTTTTTCTTATTTCAGATAGTTTCAGTGATTCGCAAACCAGCAATGCGTACTCCTCGAAATATGTTTATTTTAAATTTGGCTGTTTCTGATCTGCTCTTATGTACTGTGACCATGCCTTTGACTTTGATGGAGATCATCACGAAATATTTTCCGCTAGGAAATAACGTGTTTATTTGCAAAATTGTGGGACCTTTACAAGCAACGAGTATCTTTGTATCGACGATTTCGATTACGGCCATCGCGCTGGATAGATATCAGGTATAGTAGTGAATTTTCGTATTATTAAAACGTTTAAAAAATGCAAATTGCACACTTTTGCGGTGAATAAACGTCAGCAAAAAGTGCGAGTTTAAAATTTATATTCGGTTTTCGTTATTTATGTTTCAACGTTGAAAATTATACATACTTTTGGTAATTTATTGGCTTAGTGTGAACGTATTTTGGGTGTCTGTCTTTTGTCCGATCAATGTAGTGAAATATTTGTTGTTTTTGAAAGTTGATCAGTCATAAATTCTGTTTGGAGACACGACCGGATAACAGAATTAAATCCGAGCTTAACGAAACATCGAAATTTCATTTTAAGAAGCTTTCGCGTTTATTCCCTTAGCTTCTAACGTTATGTTTATTAATGAATACAAATCTTTATTTATTTAAACGAATTCAACTTGTTCCATTCAAAGGTAATCGTCTACCCGACCAAAGAAAGCCTCCAGCTCTTTGGAGCCGTAATCATCCTAGGTCTTATATGGCTCTTAGCCCTTTTCCTTTCGACTCCTTTGTACATAGTGAAGCAGCTCAACACCCACAATATCTCTCTTGGGAAGGGCATCGACGAACTCAACTTTTGCATCGAAGATTGGCCGTTTGACCATGGAAGGGCTTACTATTCCGTCTTCTCCCTCATCTTCCAATACATTGTACCCATCATTACCGTTTCGGTAAGTACAAGGTCGTCTTATTTAAATGTTACACCAGCTTCGAGATTAGGTTTCGGAAGGCGATACGTGACTCGTATGGGGGCGTAAATATCCTCAAAGGATACGTGAGAATTACACACAAACACTGAGTTATAGGCTTGTTGTATAAATCCGGGCTTTGGGAAGCTAAACATGCATCCTTGACCCCGATTCAAATCATTTTTGAGCTAAATTATCGCTGAAATAATTGCATTAGTTCGATATTGTCGACATAAATCAACCACCGGTCAAATGTGTAATTACAGTCTGGAATTTTTACGAAATATCGTGGAATGTTATAACTTTTAAGAAACAATAACATTATTAACGTCTAGTCTTGTGCAATGGAACGACCGAATTTTTGCAATGTAATAAAATCTCGCCGTGTTATAAAACAGAAGCACTATCAAAGATCGTGTAAACACAGATCGGGCAAACATCCAAGCTTTTGTTTCCAAACAATACCATAGATTTTTGCAACGATCGCATACTGTACACCCCAATTGCTGAATTTAATACAACGAATTTATTCTGATACGTTAAGCCTCGAGAATGCTCCAATAAAACAATAATAATGCACACTTTACGATATAATCCTGTTTCGGGGAATCCTTTGTGACTGATTAGAACCGAGTAAAAATGCTACTAATTTTTACATCACTGTTAACAGCTACATATTTGCATGGTTTGAGTGTTTTTTGCTTTTAGCCATGTCTAAAGTGAATTAATAATGATTGATGTGCTTTCAAGAGGATTTTGCATGATACAACGGTAAAAAAATGCACTTTGTTCTTTTCAAATTTAAATCAAACTTATCGAAACTTTAAAATAAATAGTATATTATATCATAACGATGGAATGAGACGTAACGTAATTCACAACCACCTACTATTATTGTTAATTCCCTATTACCTACAGTAACTAATTACTTACTTGAGTTATTAAGGGGGTGTCCTAAATTAAAATGTCAAAAATCGATTTTTTTTATTGCTGAAATCCATATAAGAATGTGTTTACAAAGTGACAGAGACTAGTTTTAAATATTTAATATTTTAATATTTCAATACATATTTTCAATATTTAAATTGATTTTTTTTCTTATTGAAAACTTTGAGACGCGTTTTCTCTAGTTCTTATTTTCACAATTTTTCTAAATTTGTGGATGTCATAACTAAAAAACTAAACGACTTATATAATTGAACCAAAGTTTTTTTTCTTCAGTATTAAATTCTCTTCTAAGTGAACTAAAAAGTTTATTTAAATAATTGTTATAGCAGCATAAAGTTTTTTTTTA